CATTGATCCATTCAAGGTTGGCATTTTGATGCCGCTGGAGAAGAATCCTCATGCTATGGCTATCAAACGTCCAGGTGACAAGACTGGCGTTGTTTTGAAAGTTAAGAAATAGAATGTGATTTCTTCTGGTGGAAAAGAGATTTATTTAGGACACAAGTTTTAGGCTTATTCAAGAGCTTAAACAAACCCCAGCCGACTAGTTTTGAAAAATGAAGTATTGCAGAAGTTATTTTAGACCAGAAAAATGTGTATTACCAGTTTGTACCTTCACCAGAGAAAAACCTTACAATCACTACTGTGGAATATCTGAACTTTAAGTGTCATTGTCAGATGGTGAGTGGTAAGTTTGAAGAGATAAAGCTGGGGCCACAATACAGAAGGCTGTGAGTGCCAATCTAAGGAATCTGAATTTTATTTGGTATTCAATGGGAGCCACTGAAAATTTTTCATCAGAAAAATGGAAGATGGACTGGTGGCAGTGATGTGAGGAAGTGACAAGCTGGGAAAGATCAAGTGTGGGTGCAAAGTGTGAGGTAAAAGTCGTTTACCAGCGTGATGGCCATGAATATATTTTTAAATGGATGCAACTAACATTTAAATTAGAATTGGCAGGCCCAGGCTAGATGTAAAGAATGAATAGACTCAAGCTGGTGACCACTCAGCCCTGATAAGCTTACCACAGGAGACAAAGTCAAAACTAGAACTTTGATCTCAGATTCTCCATCCAATTCTCTTCCTATTATAGCTACTGCCTGATTTGGAGTTATGGAATTGGTCTCAAAGGCCACAAGCATCAGCAGGTAACTTGATATAACACTCACATAAATCAGGAAATTTTTTTCCCCTTTAGACCGTGGTTATAATCCTAGCTCTTTTGTATCTTGGGATTATGGAGCGAATCATTTGCCTTTGACACCTTTTATGTTTTTATTTCAATTAATTTCATTAATATTGCACAGATGTATTTCTTATCTCCCACAATAAATCAATTTCTTTGAGAGTAGCAATGTAGATACATACTTGGATCTTTTACCAATGATTGTTTCTAATACCCAAGAAGTGTCTTTTTAAAAGGGTGTCAAATTAATTAATGTACATAGTGAGAATGACCTGTTTTTAAAAAATGAATTAACAAAAAAACACAAACAGAATCTGAACTTTTTATATTAATTCAGGCTAGAGGAGAAGCTCCCCTTCTTTTTATTAGGTCTCTGATTACTTAAGAACATCAAGTAACGTTCAAAAGTACCTGAGAGCCACAGCCACACTCCACTTTATGACAAGAAAACATCCCATTTCATAGGAGAACCATTTCTCCAAGCTTTTCATCATCCTTCTTTGCAAGACTTCATGTGGCAACAACGAAGGGCAAAGGGGACCCTGAGTAACACTTTCATTTTTAAAGTTAACACAAAGCAGGGTTTGGTTTCCACACTTAGACAGAAAAATAGCGTAGGTTACATATTTCTATTCCAGGTTTCCTCAACTTCTTATGATTGATATTACCGTATTTAATCCCTGCTCCTGTGCAAATAGCTTGCAGCACTTAGGGCAGGCAGGCAGCCCACAGAGGGAGGTTTTTAGACTCATAGGATTCTCCCTAAATAGCATTCAGTTTCAGTATAACCACAAAGTCCTTGCTCCAGGAACTCTGGCCAGCTGTAGGCAGCACCATGATGCCCTTTTTGGGATGGTTTGCAAAATGTCTTTGGAGACAATTCCAAAAGAAAAGTTTCAAAGATGGTCTCAGTAATACTGGCCTCACTACAGTAAGTACATGACTTCCCAAGGCTATCATGTTAAAGAATAATAATCATTTGATTCTATGAGTTATGATGAATTTGTTTTTAAAAGCATAAACATTTATTTTTAAATTATATAAAAAGCAGCTGGGTGCAGTGGCTCATGCCTGTAATCCCAGCACTTTGAGAGGCCGAGGCGAGAGGATTGCCTGAGCCCATGGGTTCGAAACCAGCCTGGGCAACTTGGTGAGACCTGTCTCTGCAAGATATATATATATATATATATATATATATACACACATACATATATGCATGCCACTACTATATATATATATATATATATCACTGTTTAAACAATGATTATAACCAATGAATATAAGAAAATGTGTAGAATGTGTAGGTAAAAATGAAGCACTTAATTCTGTAGTCTATAGGTCAAACTCAATACTTCTGGATCAGTCACCTTTAAGTACACTGAGGCTGCTGAACACTTGCTGAGGGATCCGATTTTTTTTTTAAGGTACAAATGAATGGTGCATGTAATTTCAAAGCCTGTTGGGGTAAAGCAGAATGGATGACCTACTTCAATTTTGTACAGAGAAGTGGCAAAGAATGAAAGAAAAAGAACAGTTACTGTAGCTCATTAGACCTCATTGACATCCTGGCTTTACTTCTTTGTAGGTGAACAACCCTCCACAAATTATTTAGTTTCCTCTGAGGCTCAGTCTTCTTACCTGTAAAATGCCTGTTGAAATGCCTGGCAAACAGAAGGTATTCAAGAAATATCAGTTCTTCTGTGAGGGCATCTTTTTCAAACTAAGGGTTGCAACCCATTGGTAGATTATTATATCAATTTAGTGGGTTGCAACTGGCATATTTTGAAAACTGAAACAATAAAAAAATCAGAATGGTAAGTATTGTTTCATTAAGCCTATTCAAAATTTGATATCGATGCATTTTATTTTACTGTGGATTGCAGCCAAAAAGTTTCAAAGTCTCTGCTCTACATAAAGATTCTCAGATTATATTTTAAAAGTCTTTAAGAGTTCTGTCTTTATCCAAATGAAGTCCTGCCTACTTTAATACCTTTTTCAAATTTTAATTTTTTAAAATTTTAAAAATGTGGGGTACAATTCAGGATTAGGTAATTTTTAATACCTTAATCACAGTGTTTCTTAACTTCTAATTTGTTGCAGTAAAAAAATAAGACATGAGTCAGCGAAGATAAATTTAATTTGATACTACAGGACATTAAATTCACTTTAAGATTGTTTTCTGTGTCATACTGATTGGTTTATACTAATTTAATTTATATTAAACACTTTATAGTTTATATATCATGTATAGTTGATTAAACACATAGCAATTTTTACAAAAAAGTTGACTATTAGGTTCTATTATAGGGAAATTAGATACAATTTCTAAATCGTTTTAAAATGTAAAGCTTTTTAAAAGTCTATAACTTGCCTAACTGTGGAGACTGCAAGACTAATATCCAATTCTGATGAGCAGTAACAGTCAAAGACTTCTATGGGTACATAGTGGCATTCCACAATTGCTCAGTAAAAATGAGAGATCCCGCCAGGCTCGGAGGCTCAGCCTGTAATCCCGCGCTTTGGGAGGCTGAGGTGAGTGGATTGCCTGAGCCTGCGGGTTCGAGACC